AACATTTGTTATTTTCTGTTTTTTTTTTTTTGATTCGTGCCAGTAATGCTGGGGGTGAGATGGTATCTCTCATTGTGGTTTTCATTTGCATTTCCCTAATGGCTGGTGATCGGGAGCGTTTCCTCATGTGTCTGTTAGCCGCTTGAAGGTCTTCTTTGGTGAAATGTCTGTTCATTTCCTTTGCCCATTTTTTAATTGGATTATTTGTCTTTTTGTGGTAGAGGTGTTAGATTTTCCTGTAGATTTTAGAGTTTAGACCTTTGTCTGATTTGTAATAGCTAAAAATTTCTTCCGAGTCTGTAGGTTCTCCTTTTATTCTTTTGGTGAAGTCTTTTGATGAGCCTAAGTGTTTAATTTTTAGAAGATCCCAGTTATCTAGCTTATTTTCTGGAGTTTGTATGTTGTTAGTTATGGTTTGTATCCTGTTAGCACCGTGTATTAGGGTCTCTAGTGTTGATCCTGTTTTTTCTTCTATGACCTTTATAGTTTTTGGTTTTAGCCTTAGGTCTTTGATCCATTTTGAATTAGTTTTTGTGCGTGGTGTGAGGTATGGGTCCTGTTTCGTTGTTTTGCAGATGGACATCCAATTTTGCCACTACCATTTGTTAAAAAGACTGTCTTTTCCCCATTTGATGGCAGGTGACCGTAGGTGGATGGATTTACACCTGGGTTCTCAATTCTGTTCCACTGCTCAATGTATCTGTCATTGTGCTAGTACCAGACTGTTGTGACTACCATAGCTGTATAGTAGATTCTGAGGTCAGGTAGTGAGAGTCCTCCTACTTTATTTTTCCTCTTCAATAATGCTTTACTTATCTGGGGCCTCTTCCCTTTCCATATAAAGTTAATGATTATTTTTTCCATCTCTTTAAAGAATGTTGTTGGTATTTGGATTGGGATTGCATTGTATTTGTAAATTGCTTTGGGTAGAATTGTCATTTTCACAATGTTGAGTCTACCTATTGGTGAGCATGGTATGTTTCTCCGTTTATGTAGATCTCTTTTGGTTTCTTGCAGTAGTGTTTTGTAGTTTTCTTTGTATAGGTCTTTTACATCCCTGGTTAGATTTATTCCTAAGTATTTTAGTTTTTAGGGGTTATTATAAATGGAATTGCTTTCCTGATTTCCTTTTCCTCGTTCTCTTTGTTGGTATATAGGACTCCAACTAATTTTTCCGTGTTTATCTTGTATCCTGCTACTCTGCTAAATCTTTCTGTTAGTTCCAGTAGTTTTCTTGTGGAGTCTCTTGGGTTTTCGATATATAGTATCATATCATCTGCAAATAGGGACAGTTTAACTTCTTCATTACCAACTTGTATGTCCTTTATTTCTTTTTCTTGCCTTATTAGGAAGGACTTCCAGCACAATGTTAAATAAGAGTGATGATAAAGGACATCCTTGTCCCGTCCTGTTCTCAAGGAGAATGTTTTCAGCCTCTCTCCATTTAGAATGATGTTGGCTGTTGGTTTTGCATAGATGCCCTTTATCATGTTGAGGAATTTCCCTTCTATACCTGTTTTATTGAGAGTCTTTATCAAGAATGAGTGTTGGATTTTGTCGAATGCCTTTTCTGCATCAATTGAGATGATCATGTGATTCTTTTCCTTCATTTTATTTATGTAGTGGATTACATTGATTGATTTTCTAATGTTGAACCATCTTTGCATATCAGGTATGAATCCTACCTGGTTGTGGTGTATTATTTTTTTGATATGATGCTGAATTCTATTGGCTAGAATTTTGTTGAGAATTTTTGCATCTATATTCATGAGAAGTATTGGTCTGTAATTTTTGTGTGTGTGTGGTGTCTTTGCCTGGTTTTGGTATCAGAGTTATGGTGACTTCATAGAATGAATTTGGAAGTATCCCTTCCTTTTCTATGTTCTGAAATAATTTGAGTAGTACTGGTGTAAGCTCTTCTCTGAATGTTTGATAGAATTCTCCAGTGAAGCCATCTGGGTCAGGGTTTTTTTTTGTTGGGAGTTTTGTTTATTTCCTTTTTAATCTCTTGTTATGGGTCTGTTCAGATTTTCAACATCAATTTGTGATAGTTTGAGTAGGTAGTGTGTTTCTAGAAATTTGTCTGTTTCCTCTAGATTGTCAAATTTGTTGGAGTATAGATTTTCATAATACTCTGTTATGATTCATTTTATTTCAGTTGGGTCTGTTATCATGTCCCCCATTTCATTTTTTATTTGGGTTATTTGCATCCTCTCCTGTTTTTCTTTTGTCAGTTTGGCTAGTGGTTTGTCGATTTTGTTGACCCTTTCAAAGAAGCAACTTTTGTTTTGTTGATTCTATTCTCTATTTCATTTATTTCTGCTTTGGTCTTTATTATTTCCTTTCTTCTGGTGACTATAGGCTTCTTTTGCTGTTCTCTTTCTGTTTGTTCTAGTTGTGTAGCTAATGTCTTGATTCTGTCCCTTTCTTCTTTTTTGATGTGTGCATCTGTGGCCATAAATTGACCTCTGATGACTGCCTTTGCTATGTCCCAAAGGATTTGGTATGATGTGTTTTCATTCTTGTTTGATTCTAGGAATTTTTTTTATTACATCTTTGATTTCTTCTGTTACCCAGTGGTTCTTAAGCAGGGTGTTATTTAGTTTCCATGTAATTAATATTTTTCCTTGTTCTTCCTGTTGTTAATTTCTACTTTGATGGCACTGTGATCAGAGAAGATACTTCGTATTATCTCAGTGTTTTGGATTTTGGTGAGGGTTGCTTTGTGGCCTAAGATGTGGTCTATTCTGGAGAACGTTCCATGTGTGTTGTAAAAGAATGTGTACTTTGCAGCTGTTGGGTGGAGTGTTCTATATATGTCTATGAGGTCAAGTTGGCTGATTGTGGCCTTTAGATCATCTATATCTTTGTTGCGTTTATTTCTAGATGTTCTGTACTTTACTGAGAGTGGTGTGTTAAAGTCTCCTACTATTATAGTGGAATTGTCAATTTCTCTTTTCAGTGCTGTTAAAGTTTGTTTTATGTATTTTGGAGCCCTGTCATTGGGTGCGTAGATATTTATTATGGTTGTGTCTTCATGCTGGCTCATCCCTTTAGTCATGATGTAGTGCCCTTTTTTGTTTTTTATAGTGAATTTTATTTTAAAGTCTGTTTTATCTGAGATTAGTATTGCCACTTGTGCTCTTTTTTGATGGCTGTTTGCTTGGTATTTCTTTTCCATCCTTTGATTTTTAATAAATTTATGTCTTTGTTCCTAAGGTATGTCCCTTGTAGACAGCATATTGATGGATCCTGTTTTTTTATCCATTCTGTCACTCTCTACCTCTTTATGGGTGTATTTAGGCCATTTATGTTCTGTGTAATTATTGATAGGTGTGATTTTATTGTTATTTTGTAGTGCTTTTTTTTTTTGTGGTGCTGACAATTTCTTTGTTCCTCTTACTCTCCTGTGCTGAATTCCTTGTGTTTGTGGATTTTTGTTTTCATTTCTTTTGTCTTTGTAGATTTTGTTTTTCCTGAGACTTTCTGTTTTTCTTCTTTATTTTGATGAGTAGGTTTGTTAATTTTCTTTGTGGTTACCTTGAAATTTACCCTTCTGTTCCTAAGTTTGAACCAGTCTATTATTACTTGGTATCACCTTGCCTTCCTCTCCATTAGAAAGTTCTATACCTACACCATTTATTCCTTCTTTTATTGTTCTGATGTTGTTGTCATTTGCAGATTAACCTCTCTGGTTCCCTATTGTAAATCTTTTGGTTTTGAATATTTCTTCATTTGACTCCTAGGGTTCTAGGATTGACTTCGTCTCTGTTTTACTTAGTTTTTCGGGTCTTTGCTGTGGAGGGACAGCATAGTGCTTCTGTCTATAGTGACATGTTCCCAGAATTTGGGCAGTAACTTTCAAGTGGTCGTCACTGATGGATACTTAAATGTAATGATTATTAAGATTTAGCATTCTGTGTCCTGTGTTAAGAGAGCTGGACATGGTATTAAACTAGGCAAAGTTAGACAGCTACTGAGTTCTTCCTCTCATTTCTCAAATCTAAGCAGGGATTCAAATACCTCTCAAAGGTATTGTTAGAATGAATTTTTAGGACAAGCTTTGAAAACCCAAGAGTTGGGACTAAATTTGTTTGTTTTCCTAGCTGTATTTCATGTGCTGCATGCATTAGAGGCTTGTTATGTCTAATGATGGAGACCTCTAGAGGGAAAATCTTCAAGACCCCTGCTACTTAATATACAGTTTTATCATAAGTACTATGGATTAATAGGCTAGTGAGGAGGCCTTTGGCTTCATTTAGCAGAGATCCCAACTCAAATTAGCTTAAATAATAAAGGAATTATTGGTTCATACAACTAAACACAGAGGAAGGATGGGCTTCAGGGTCAGTTCGATCCAGTATTGTAGGCTCCGCTTCTCTGGAATTCCGGAATTACTGCAGCTGTGCTTTCAACTGGATGTTGGCTTCATCCTCAAGCTATGCTCTCATTGTGACAAAATGACTAGCAGTTTTTTGCTTTGCGTTCACACTACAATGTTGGGATTTCTCAACCTCGGTACTGTTCGTATTTTGGGCCAGATTTGGGCAGAGGGGGCATCCTGTGCATTGTAGGATATTTAGCAGCATCCCTGGCCTCTACTAGCTAGAAGCTAGTAGCACCTCACCCCTGAGTTGTGATAATAAAAAATATCTCCAGACATTGCTAAATGTTCCCTTCAAGGCAAAATCACCCTAGCTGAGAACCACTGAGCTAAAGGAAGACAGACCATTTCATCAGATGGCTATCTTAAGAATGAGGAAATGTGTTTCCTAGAAGTTCGCTTTTGTCTCACTGGTGAGGGGGATGGGTTCCCCTTAGACTAATCAGGCCCAATCTGGACCTAAGGATGGAATCAGCTCCCTTGAGGCATGTGACTGTTCGGGGGAGGAGTGAGTACCTAAATAAAGTCAACAGAAAGGGGGGATGGAAGCTAGGCCAGATGCCAACAGTGTGTACTACCACTGCAATCTAAATTTGTCCTTTTTTCCTCCTCTCAGTGAAGATTATGGAAAGAACTTTAAGGATATTACAAATCTCATCAATAACACCTTCATTCGGACTGAATTTGGCATGGCTATTGGTCCTGAGAACTCTGGAAAGGTGAGCTCACTCATGCATATATAAAGCTTGTGCTAGATGCCACTTGCAGGGGTGTCAAGTATCAGTACTGGAATCAGCCAGTGATACACAGTAATGTATCTGGTTTAAACCCATTGCCATCAGGTCGATTCTGACTCATAGCGACCCAATAGTTCAGTGTTTAGTATTGCTGTATTTTAAAACGAAACATACTTTAATCCTGATGACAAAGGAATGGAATTCAGCACACAGATTTTCGGTTCCTGTCCAAGACGCACCAACCCCATCATAATTATGAGGCGGTTGTTTAGCGTCACAATGTCGACTCCCAAAGACCATATTTAGTCTTTTGGGAAACTGACTAATCTCAGAACTGACCTGGCTCAAATCCACAAGCATGACATACTAGCTCAATTCAGGATGATATTTCTTGATAAGACTAAGACCTGAGGAGTGGAATACTTGGCTAATCTGTTTCTATAGCTCTTCTCACTTCTGGAACTAAAATGTTCTTAACTAACGTCTGATAAAAATGGTGCAAGAACTTCCCATGCTGTTATAGCATTGTATCCTGAATCTGATCTTTCCTCTTCCCGAGCAGGTGATTTTAACAGCAGAGGTGTCTGGAGGAAGTCATGGAGGAAGAATCTTCAGGTCATCAGATTTTGCAAAGAACTTTGTTCAGACAGATCTCCCTTTTCATCCTTTGACTCAGATGATGTATAGCCCTCAGAATTCTGATTATCTCTTAGCCCTCGGTACTGAAGTAAGTCCAGTTCAGGAGCTTTTCCTATGTTTTGCATTTTTATAGCCTCAAAATAATACTATCTTAAAGAACCCCGTAGGTAATGCTTTTATATTGAACTTCTTTCTAGTATCTCCTTAGGGCATGAAGTACATATTTTCTGCATTTTTTTCCTGTGTAGTAAGGGCACAATTTTCTTATACTGTCTGTCCCAGGTAAGTATGATGTCTAGTGGCCATCACAAGTTTGCCAAAGTGAATAGATGTGTGCTATTGCAGTACTAGAATACTGTTTGGTGTAATCATTTCTGTGCTGCAAGAGACAAGCATAAATTATCGAACTCCTAATGTTGTTTTCATATGGCCAAACCACATCTTTATAATTTTTTTTGTTAGTTCTTCGGTATGTAAAACATGTTGTTTTCTGTCCTTGACATTCATGTATTAAATATTCAAAATTTCGGTTCCCTGTATCCCCCACCACATTCCCATGCTTTCCCCCAGATTAGTGCCCCTTCCTAGCCCTCCCACCTCTCCTATGAAAGTTCTCCAAGGAGCACATTCAGCTTTTCCTTTCCTGGATGACCAGTCTCCTGTATCATGGATGTTAAGGACCCAAAGTGACTGAATTGCTGGACTACGATGATCATAATTATGCTTTATGTTTATATGGCTCTCTCCCATCTTATTTCTTAAAGTGTGGTCTACTGACCAGCAACATCAGATAGAATCATTTGGGGGGCTGGTTTAAAATGCAAATTCCTAGGCTCCAATCCAGCTAGAGTAAATCTATGGCTTTTAGTTGGGGGATGGCTGGTATTTTTAAGGTAAGCCTGAGCCCAGATGAGCCTGTACACTAAAATCTGAGAGCTGTTGCTCTGATGACTGTTCTGGGGACAGAAGCAGGATCATCAAGTGTGCACAAGTCAGACCGAGCATAGCGAGGGTGGAGGGCACTAGAAAAGAGGTCTGGGCCTTGTGAGGGTAGATCGTGAAGAAGAGGTAAGACTGTAGGGTTCCAGGAGGGGCATATTTATGTTTAGCCAAGGAGGCCAGAGGAAGGAGATAAGCTTGCTGGGTAGCTTCAGACGTTATAGCAACAATTCCCGGAAATTGGCCTCCAGCAGCTTTAGCTGAAGGCCCTTTGAGGGAGCAGAGAGACCTCCACAGGAATGGACAGAACCATAGATCTCCTTTGACCACCCCATCGCTGTTACCAAGTATCACAAGGTTATTAAAACAGGGTTATCCTCTGGAAGAGGCAGGCACAATCTGCTTTTATACCTGAAATTTCTCCCAGTGAAGGGTATGTTTGAAGTAGAAATAATTGGGGTGAAAAAGATGGACCAGTTTTTACTAAAAGTACAAGGGAGTGATATCAGACCCTTTCCTGCCTTTTTAAGTAGAATTAGGTAGATTAGAAGGTACTGGGAGGTGAACATTAAAAGATGAGGAAAAGTCATAGAAAGAAAAATGGTGGGTGGGGAGCGCTGAAAATAAATTCCGCCTTGATCAGCCCCATTTAACTTCAGCTGTTCTGGGACATCTCTGTCATAGTCTTCATCTGATTAAATCTGTGCTGCATTTGAAAGTGTTGCCAAGCCCTTTTGCAGACTTCACTTGCTGGCCTTTTGTGACTTCACTCCTTTTGGTTCTTCTTCTACCTTCTGGCCATTCCTTCTTGGTCTCTTTCTGAAGCTCCTTCCAACCTACCCTTAAATGCCCACTGCTATTTTCACTCTGAGCAATCTCTTCCACTCTGACCATGATTTTAACCACCATTTAAGATGTGTTAAGATTTGCCAGCCCGTAACTCTAGCCCTGGCTTCCCCCTAGGGCTTCAGATACTTATCTTGCTGCCACCAGGATATCTCTAGCTGGATATTCCAAAGGTACCATTCTCAATCTAAAACTAAATTTCTTTGCTGCTCTCCCAAACATACCTTCTTCCCTTATTCCTTATACTAGTTACTGATACCACAATGCATCGTATCCCCAGAATGGTTGATGTCTACACACACACCACACATACTCCACCCTGCCCCACAAGAAAAGTCATCCAGTTTTACTGATACTAGCTCCTAAATTCTTCCTGAGCCTATTCATCACTGCCATGGTTCAGGCCCTCACTACTCTTACTGAATTCCTTATACTAGTTATAATAATCTAGCTAATGTGGCAGGTATTCACTGCTTTTCCTGCTTCTAATTTAGATCCTCTGAAATCCATCTTTCCCATTCTCTTCCAAGTATTCCACTTAAAAAAGCAAAATTGACCATGTCATTCCATTACTTAAAACCCTCCCCCCACAGAGCATCTCATATGTAATAAAGATTAGGTTCCTCAGCCTGGCGTAGAAGAAAGGCTCTCCATGAGCTGGCCTCTTCCACCCTCCCTAGCATCACCTCCTCTTTTTCTTACCCTGGAATCTGTGCTCCACGAATGTCCAATGGCGTGTAGCTCCCTGCACACATTGCAGTGCTTTAACTGCTAGTGCTAGTCTCTCTGTGCAGTAATACCTCATTTCCCCAAGCACCTTCTTCAGGAAACTATCTCTACCACAATGTCCTGCCTCACCCCACTTCGCCTTTCCCCACATTATATTGAACCTTTTTCATATGCCCCTTGTTAGACTGTGAGCTCCTTGAGAGCAGGGAGTGTGTCTTATTCATCTTTGTATCCCCAGTGCAACATCTGGTAAGTGCCTGGCACATAGTAGGCACTTAATAAACATTTGTTATTCTGAACTTCCAAGATCCTGAAGGGGTTCAGATAAACCGTGTTTGTGTCTGTGGAGCTCAGGCAGCTCGGATGGAACTTCAGTGTGTGTTTTTACTGTCCTGAATGATTGGATATGCATTATTAAAGGTCATACAAGCAGCTGCACAGGATAAAGCTGGAATTTTGATAAGTCATTTATAATCTTTCAGAATGGCCTGTGGGTGTCCAAGAATTTTGGGGGAAAATGGGAAGAAATCCACAAAGCAGTATGTTTGGCCAAATGGTGAGTAACAGAAGACTCCATCTGCGCAGAGCCCTAAACCTTCCCTGACAGTGCTGCCAAACGTCACGTGAATAAATACTAAGCACTTACTGTGTGGCAAGTACTCTTCAGGGTGCCCTAAGGTATACCAGAGAGGGGTATGATACAGACCTTGACCTGGAGGACCTGCTATTTCTGCTAGACTTAGTCCCACTAAGTGATAGACTATAAAGTATAAAGCCAGGCACGTGACTGAGTAGCTGCTGCCTGCAAAAGGTTTATTTTCCATGAATGGTGAGATTAACTGGAGTATCACAAAGGACAGCTTTAATTTGGGGATTTATGTATGTCTTTCCCGCAGAGTTACACTCCCTTATCTAGAGCTCCGCTTCAGGAATCAGGAGGAAAGCCCAAGAGCTTCCAGACTGCCAGAGTCACACTTGCGCGCACCAAAGCGCCTTCGCTTCTCTGAGCAGCCCCTCCCCCACAGGCGCCTGCTCAGATGCTGAGAGGGGGGAGCTGTTCCTGGGAGCCCCCGTCCGCTGTGTTTTGACCTGGCTCTGCTTCTAGTCAGTGACTTAACCTCGCTGGGCGTTAGTGTTTCCTTCAGTAGGCTCAAATAGGGGATTTGTTTGAGGCATTTGGGAGTGGTTGAGGAGGAATTGAATTAAAAGCATTCATACCTCCAGAAATCTATAATTAGGTTCAGATCCTTGTTTAGAGCCTTTTTCTTCTTCCCCTTTGACTAATTTCAGCAAATTTGTTAATCTGGTTTCCTAGTTTATAGCAGATTGCTGTCAAAGGTGGGGTATGTGGACTGCTAACAAGCACGTGACAGTATTAGAATTGACAGCGTGAGAGCTGGAAGGAGGCAGAAAAACTATAAAAGTGCAGACAGACTTAGAGAGTATAACCGTAGGCAGCATGAAATTATTTAGTGCTGGATCAAGAAAATACACATAGCTCAAACCTTCATCTAAAGTACAATAAAAATTTTTTTTTTTAAAAATACACATAGCTCAGACACTTCTAATGGGAGTACTGTATTATAGTTTGATAACATTGATGGTCATAATGATGGCCCATAGTCCAAGAAAGAGTTTAGTATTTAATGTACTCTACTGAAGAAATCAGGAAAATATGTAATGCAGATTTGAAATTTGTCTCCCAAAATTAATTAAAATATAAAATACATTGCTTAAATAAAGTGGGCCTTTTCTAGAAAATGCTGGCTAAATGAAGTTTTTACAGTACCACGACAGTGCACATGCTGCATCTGCTTTCATTTTATGTATTTTAATAAATTCTTGTGTTTCTACCTTATACGGTCTTACCAGGAAAGAAGTAATTTTTAAGGCAACTAAGTTAACAAACTGTTTGCTCCTCATTGATGGACCTAAAATATGTAGAATGTGTTCAAGTAAGAAGATAGTTTTTTGATTATTAAAACTAATCTTTAAAAACTGAGTTATTTTTAAATGGTATTTTGTATCCTGTGCAAGGTTTTCTGCTTTTGTAATGAGTGTCTTTGTTTAGTATCTAAACAAAAGATAACTGGGCTGCTGATAACTGTTAACAGATTTTAGATCTTTGGTCTTTAGGAACTTACAACCTAAAGTTGTGAATGAACATGCTCAGACCCACCACCTTTTGCTGGTGATGATCTATAAGTACTATCAGAGACTGAATCTAGTTCCCTGCAAACTCCCTCTTCATGTTACAATTTAAATAATTCATCCTCTGACCTAGTTTTCTATTGGAGATGAAAGAGCTAAATTATTCAGCTCATGCAAATATTTAGCTCATAAAAGCATTGAACTAGGTTCTGAGGGAAAAACAACAAAACATAAAAACTTTGCACCTGACCTGAAGAAGCCAGTAGTGCAGAAAGGGAGAGGAGCACACGCCATGCAGTTATCAATAACTAAACAGGAAACAGAGCCCTGATGGTGCAGTGGTTAAGCGCTTGACTGCTAACTGAAAGGTCAGCGGTCAGCGGTTTGAACCCACCAGCTGCTCTGGGGAAGAAAGATGTGACAGCCTGCTTCAGTAAAAATTACAGCCTAGGAAACCCTGTGGGCAGTTCTACCCTGTCCTGTACGGTTGCTAGGAGTCAGAAACGACTCGACGGAAACAGGTTTGTTAAATAGGAGACAAATGAGCGTCAAGTGACAGGTGTAGAATGGCACGAAGCTCTAGAACAGGATTTCTCAACTCTGGCACTGTTGACGTTTGGGGTGGGTAATTCTTTATTGTGGGCCGTGTCCTGTACATTGTAGGATGTTTTGCAGCATCCCTGGCCTCTACTCACCCTACCTCAATTGTGACAACCAGATATGTCCCCAGACATAGTCTGAGTACCCTGGGGGACAAAATTACCCCCTGTTGAGAATCATTGCTCTCAAAGTTTGCAGCAGAGAAGCTTTCCAGATGGAGTGACAGGAAAGGCTTCATGAAAGAGCTTGATTTCAAGCTGGAGCATGAGGGCTGGGAGGGTAAAATTGGTTATAGGAGAGAAAAGCATTTTAGGGAGGGACAAGTGTGAGCAAATGCAAGAGGCAGATTTGGAAGGTGTAAGTAGACCAGTGTAACCGGCTGGAAGAATTCACATAAGAAAGTAGTGGACTGTGCAGATCACATGGGACCTGGCTATGGGGAACCTTGACTGTTGCAGGGTGTGAAAAAATCAGGTGTGTAACGTCTGAGAAGGCTGTTTCAGCTAGTACCTGTGGAAGAAGTCTGTTAGACTTACTTGGGGCTTTGTAGCTAAGGCTGACCACAGTTCCTTAGCAGTCTTGAACCATTTCTTTTCCCTGTCTTTGCCTCATTGTAGGGGATCAGAAAACACTATCTTCTTTACCACCTATGTGAATGGCTCCTGCAGTAAGTATATTTTGGTCCCAGGAAAGTATGTCCTGTTGTCTACTCATTGTAGAATATTCTGGATTGTCTAAGAGGTAGAGACATAAAAGATCCTTCCATTCTCCTGAGATTTTAATAGCTAAAGATAGCTGTTAAAGATTTTTTAAATCTTGAAAGTACAACCAAATTACTACACTGTGCCCAGATCAAATAAAAGTGTAGGCTACATATAGAGGCAGTATATTCAATTTTTGCTATGCATTTGCATAAAGTAAATATTAGGCTGCAAACAATAATAAATTGAAGAGCATGGTGGTGCCTGCGAAAGAGCATGGATTGTGTTTGTGTTGGTGGAAGCCGTTGCTTTCCAATCAGTGGGACAGTTTCAAAGCAGAAAACAAAATGTTTCATTTATTTCTTCAACTAATATTTGAGCACCTGCTCTATGGTAAACACTGTTCTTGGAAAGTACAAGACATCCAAGGCCCTGTTCTCATGGCACTTAAATTCAAATAGAGGAGTCAAATGATGAACAAGAAAACCAAAGCTCAAGCAACACAACTTGAAACAGGATGGGATCGTTTAAAACTGTGCCATGAAGAAAGTCAAGCAAGGTGCGGTGGCTGTGATGCTTGTATGTAACACTGCATTGGAATTAAGTAAACTTGCCAGGTCTTTCTGTCCAGCATCAAACCTCACATGTATAGAATGAAACCCAAGTGTGAATTCCCTGTATCTGAAGCCATATCACCTTTATATTGTCACTTGACCAATATGAATAGAATTAAAAATTCTTTAGCTATAAAATTAAGAGTAATTGTAAAATAGCTGTTTTAAACTTAGAGGCTCACCAGTAAGTAAAGTGTTAATTAATATTTTGTCTTGTTTAAGAAGCTGACCTTGGGGCACTGGAATTATGGAGAACTTCAGACTTGGGAAAAAGCTTCAAAACCATTGGTGTGAAAATCTACTCATTTGGTCTTGGGGGACGTTTCCTTTTTGCCTCTGTGATGGCTGATAAGGTGGGTATTTATCTTTTTTGGTTCAGATGTTTCTGTTGATAAGCCTCATGTTGTTGTTTTGTACTGTTCAGTCATTTCCGACTCATAGCAACTCCATGTGACACAGTAGAACTGTCCCATAGAGTTTCCAAGGCTGTAATAATCGTTATGGGAGCAGATCTCCAGGTCTCTCTCCTGCAGCAACACTGGTGGATTCAAACCACCAACCTTTGTGTTAGCAACTGAGGACCTAACTTATGCCTCATATCACCAAAAACCAAACCCATTGCCGTCGAGTCAATTCTGACTCATAGTGACCCTATAGGACAGAGTAGAACTTCCCCATAGGGTTTCCAAGGCTGTAAATCTTTACTAAAGCAGACTGCCACGTCTTTCTCCCAAGGAGCAGCTGGTGGGTTTGAACCACCGACCTTTCAGTTAGCAGCCAAGCGCTTAGCCACTGCACCACCAGGGCTCCGTATGCCTCATATCTCATTACCATTAAGTCAATTCCAACTTGTAGCAACCCCATGTGACAGAGTAGAACTGCCCCATGTGGTTTTCTAGGCTGTAATCTTTACGGAAGCAGATTGCCAGGTCTTTCTCCTTAGAGCCGTTGGGTAGGTTCAGACTGCCAGCCTTTTGGTTAGCAGCCGAGTGCTTAACGACTGCACCATCAAGGCTCCTTATGCCTCGTATAGGGCCCTTTTACTCTTTAGTATTGACAGAGTTTCGTGTCTCTTTGCAACATTTAGTATCATTTTAAGGTTTCGGGCTGATTCTTTTTATAGAAGTTGATTGACTCTTCTGGGCTAGTCTATTTGTACTCTGGCCTACTCTTAACCACATGAATTCTTTTATCTTTTTTGGGATATGTAGAGCCAGTGTTTACTCACAGCTTTACTCAGATAAGAATATATTTTTAAAAAAAGCAATCCACTGGCTCATTATCCAATAATAATGATAGTAATAGGTAACATTAATTGATTACCTACTATGTGCTAGGTACTGTTGGTCCCTGGAATGTAACAGTAAACAAAAGATAAATTTCCTGCCTTCAGAGCTTTTATATTCAAGTGGGAAGACAGATACTAAACAGATAAATATGATATAGTATCAGGTAATGATGAACTCTATGAAGAAATCTAAAGCAGAGGAAGGAAATAGCGACAGGTATGGGAGCACATCCAATTTTAGGTACAGTGATTTGAGACCGGAAGGAAGTGAGAGCATAAGCTCTGAGAACTTCTGGGAGAAAGTTAAACTGAGGAAACAGTAAGTGCAAAGCCCCTCAGCTGGAGCATGCTTGCCATAGCAGAGAGAAGAGAAGGGCAGTGGAGCTGGAGCACAGAGAAGAGAGATCAGAAGTGAGGTCAGAGACGAGGGAGCCAGGGGCCGGATTATACAAGGCCTTTATGGGTCATGATTAAGACCTAAGCTTTTATTCTTCATGTGTTGGGAAGCTGTTAAAGGGTTGTGAGCAGGGGAATAGCGTGATTTGGCTTCTCTTTTGGCAGAATAGGTACATGCGGAATAGCCTGACGGGGCAAGAAAGGAAGCAGTGAGAGCAGCTATTTAAGTAGTCCAAGTGAGAGATATAGTAGTTCAGACCAGGCTGTTAATAGTGGATGAAGGGAGAAGTGGTAAGATTGTGGATATATTTTTAAACATTTTGCTAATAGGATTTGCTGATAGATTAGATGCTGTTTTTATTTGTTATTTGCTGTTAGATGGGGGTCAGGACAGAATGAGAGGAACCAAGGATATCTTTCAAGTCTTTGGCCTGAGCAACTGAGTGAATGGTAGTGCCATTTACTGAGATAGCACAGACTAGGGGAGGAGCAGATTTGTGGGAGGAAAACCAAGAATTTAGTTTTGGATACGAGATGCTTACCTAAGGGGAGGTGTCAAGTAAGCATTTTGGGTATGTGAATCTCTCAAAATTACGTGGTTTTAAGGGCTGTGTTACTAGATGATGTCTTCTGAAGGGATGAGTAGGTAGAGAAGAGGTGCAAGGACTGAGCAATAAAGGTTTTGAAGAGAAGGAGAATCCAGCAATGAAGACTGAGAGGGAGGGACCACCAAGGTAGTGGGAAGCCAGGATAGTGTGATATCATGCAAGCCAAGTAAAGGAAGTATTTAAAGAAGGAGGAAGTGATCAGCTGTGTTAAATACAATGAAGTGTTGAGTTCGTTGAATTCTGAGAATTACCCATTGGATTTGGCAAAGTGGAGGCTTTTGGCTAAAGCAGTTTCATTAGAGAAATGAGATTAAAAGACTGATTAGAGTGGGTTCAGAGAGAACTGAAGATAGGGAAGTAGACACAGTAAGTGCAGATACCTCTTGAGCAATTTTGAGACTACACGCTCATGACAACCTCACAACAACCCTATGAACTAATACTATTATCTCAATTTTGTAGGTGAAGAGACTGAGTAACTTGCCCAGGGTCACCCAGTGGTGGAACCCTGGTGAATATTAGCTGTCTGATTCCTGAGGCAGTCTTCTTAACCATTACTCTATACTGCTACTATCTACAAAATTAAAATTCTATTGTGTACTTTTGAATTCTAGTTTCTACCTATAACAATAAGAGTAAGATTCAGCATGGCATACTGAACACCTAGATATAAGTTAAGTGTTGTGTTGTTGGGTGCTGTTGAGTTGATTTTGACTCATAATGACCTCATCTGACAGAGTAGAACTACCCCATAGGTTTTTCTAGGCTATAATCTTTACGGGAGCAGATTGCCAGGTCCTTCTCCTGCAGAGCCACTGGGTGAGTTCAAACAGCCAGTTTTTCAGTTAGTAGCCAAGCACTTAACTGTTGCACCACCAGGGCTACTTATACGTTAAATAAATCAGTTAAATGTACTTGTCACTGAACTTTAAAAAGTATTTAACCTAGGAGGCCCTGAGAACAATTGTCATGCCCTGGCTAACTGTATCTAGTAGCTATTTTAAGCTATTTATCAGAGAGTAAGTGTTAATTGCCTCCTGAGCAAACTCCTTTTAACAGTAAACACTCCCTGATCAGATTCCTTATAGTGATTTCTGACTGTCCTTGTTCTCTTCCCAGCTCGTATGTGTTCTCTGCATTATGACTATTCTGAGAGACCTCCATGGGGAGGAGGCATGTCACATCTTGACTTCTCCTTGTGATCTCCCAAGCATGGATTTCATCTTCATTTTCTAGACCCTAATTTTCTAATTATCTAATTTCTTTGAATTATGCCAGGACTACCTCAAAGGGAGGGGGCAGCAGTGGTTCAGTGGTAGAATTCTCGCCTTCCACACGAAAGACCCATATTAGATTAGCAGCCAGTGTACCTCAAATGCAGCCACCACCCGTCTGTCAGTGGAGGCTTAATCCTGAAGAGATTGCTATGATGCTAAACAGGTTTCTGCAGAGCATTCAGACTAAAACAGACTAGGCAGAAAGGCTTGGTGATCTACTTCCGAAAATCAGCCAGTGAAAATCCTGTGGAGCACGATTCTACTCCGACACACGTGGGTTCGCCATAAGTTGGAATTGGCTCCACAGAAATTGGTACTGGTACCTCAAAGGAACCAAATTTTTATGCAGCAGTAATCAATATTAAAAATCTGAGCAAGCATATAAGAAAGGCTGTAAAGTCGAGTTAATGATGGTCCCATCAAACCCTTACCTCTGTTGAAGGAAATTGATATGTCAGAGCTTGGAAGGGTAATATCTTGCAGGGCCATACCAGAATGAAGAAGCCAAAGAGGAAGCCAAAGTAGCCTTACTTACAATAGAATGAATCGTTCCATTGCCTGACACTTTGCTAGAGGTTAGAAGTTCCTTTGGTAGTTGGCACTGGGACCTTTCATTTATAACAGTTGTACTCAATGGGGAAATAAATAATGATACTTAAAATTATTGATAATAATGTTCCTATCTATGTCCCTGCAATGGCATCATGGTGGAAAAATAAAAGATAAATACTGCATTTGTTCCAGGATGCAACAAGAAGGATCCATGTGTCAACAGATCAAGGGGACACCTGGAGCATGGCCCAACTCCCTTCTGTGGGACAGGAACAATTCTATTCTATTCTGGCAGCTAATGATGACATGGTGTTCATGCACGTAGATGAACCGGGGGGTAAGAGCTGTTTCACTAAAGTGGCCCAGCCTTGAATGCATAGAGATACTAAGCTTCAAGCCCTTCTTACATGTCATTTTTCCCCTCTTACTCCTAGGAATTTCTTAGTGTCCTACTGAATACCCTATCTTAGAGCTTCTATTAAAAAGGCCACTTGTTTTGACACTCCAATATAGTTTGTGTGTATGCTCGAGTCTTTTAGAGCAGTGCTTCTCAAAGAATGGTCGGTGGACTGGTACTGATTCTCAAACTGTCATAAGATAAGTACAGAAATTGAGAGCAAGTGTTTAGAAACTCTTACAGTCATTTAACAAAGAATTTTATGTCTGTTGAATCTAATAATAAAAAAGTTGAGGCCTCTGTTTTATGTCTTTTCGATTTCACTTTTCTAGTCATTAATTTTTAATATATTTTACAAAAGCATCAGTTTGTTACACGTTGACAATAAAAAAAAATTGATCCTTCACCACAGATAGTTTGAGAAGCATTGTTCTAGACTATAAAATTATAAAGATGCCTAAGATATGAATCTACGCACAGTGTCTCTGCCACCAAAATAGATCTGGGAAGAGCTTTTCTGTAGCATCTGATTAATTCGTTCAACAAACTAAGCATCTGTCATATGCTGGGCACTAAGCTGGGTATTAGAATTAAATATGTGCATGAAGATCTTGAGCATCAGCCTTGATTAACTCTGAGGACTGCATCTACTTCATGAAGAGAAACAGTTTGCTGATGTGTATATGATTGAACTACTGTTTTTTTCTCTATCCTCTCCCAAGACTTAGTGTTTTTGTTTGCTTGCCTATTTCAGATACTGGATTTGGCACAGTCTTTACCTCAGATGATCGAGGCATTGTCTATTCCAAGTCCTTGGACCGACATCTCTACACTACTACAGGCGGGGAGACAGACTTTACCAATGTGACCTCCCTCCGTGGGGTCTACATAACAAGTGTGCTTTCTGAAGGTGAGTGTGAGCACAGCTCTCCTTCTGCCCTGCCCCTTCAGCTAGGAGTTGAAGCTTTCAGGGAAACTGATGGTCCTGTCCCCCTAGTAGTGTTGCTTGCCTAGCCAACACACCTACTCATGTAAATTATGGCTCCTATTTTAAATAAGTTATAGTGAATAGAACTAGGAGAGAGCAAAGCAAAAGCAGGTAGAAAGGAAGATTTTTTTGGAGGATTCTACAGGCATACCTGGTTTTATTGCATTTTGCTTTATTGTGCTTCGCAGATACTGCATTGTTTTTACAAATTGAAGGTTTGTGGCAGCCTTGAGTCAAGCAAGTCTGTCGGTGCCATCTTTCCAACAGCATATGCTCACTTCATGTCTCTGTGTCACATTTTAGTAATTCTTGCAATATTTCAGAGTTTTCATTATTATTATATCTGTTATGATGATCTGTGATCAGTGATCTTTGATGTTACCGTTGTAATCGTTTTGGGGAGCCACGAATCACGCCCGTGTAACACAGCGAACTTGATCGATAAATGTGTGTTCTACTGTTCCACTGACCAGCCATTTCCCCGTCTGTCTCTCTCCCTCTCCTCAGGCCTCCCTATTCCCAGAGACAGAACAATATTGAAATTAGGTCAGTTAATAACTCTACAGAGGCCTCTAAGTGTTCAAGCGAAAGGAAGAATCGCACATTTGTCACTTTAAATTAAAAGCTAGAAATGATTAAGCTTAGTGAGGAACGTATGTCAAAAGCCAAGATAGACTGAAAGCTAGGCCTCTTGTGCCAGTTGGCCAAGTTGTGAATGTAAAGGAAAAGTTCTTGAAGGAAATTAAAAGTGAACATAAAAATGATAAGAAAGCAAAACAGCCTTAATCCTGATACGGAGAAAATTTTAGTGGTCTGGATAGAAGATCAAACCAGCCACAACATTGCTTTAAGCCAAAGCCTAATCCAGAGCAAGGCCCTAACTCTCTTCAATTCTGTGAAGGCCAAGAGAGATAAGGAAGCTACAGAGGAAAAGTTTGAAGCTAGAGGAGATTGGTTCATGAGGTTTAAGGAAAGAAGCCGTCTCCTAATCGTAAAAATGCAAGGTAAAGCAGCAAGTGCTGATGTAGAAGCTGCCGCAAGTTATCCAGAAGATCTAGATAAGTGATGAAGGTGGTTACACTAAACGACAGATTTTCAATGTGGACAATACAACCTTGTATTGGAAGAAGATGCCATCTAGGACTTTCATATCTAGAGAGAAGTCAATGCCTGGCTTCAGAGCTTCAAAGGACAGGCTGACTCTCTTGTTTGGGGCTAATGCAGCTGGTAGCTTTAAGTTAAAGCCAGTGCTCGCTTACCATTCCGAAAGTCCTAGGGCCCTTAAGAATTATGCTAAATCTACTCTGCCTGTGCTGTAGAAATGGAACAACAAAGCCTAGATGACAGCACATCTGTTTACAACATGGTTTACTGAATATCTTGAGCCCACTATTGAGACCTACCGCTCAGAAAAAAGATTCCTTTCAGAATATTACTGCTCATTGACAATGCACCTGGTCACCCAAGAACTCTGATGGAGATGTATAAAGGAGATTAATTTTGTTTTCGTGCCTGCTAACACAACATCCATTCTGCAGCCCATGAATCAAGGAGTAATTTAGACTTTCATGTCTTAAATACATTTCATAAGGCTATAGCTTCCACAGATAGTGATTCCTCTGATGGATCTGGACAAAGTAAATTGAAAACCTTCTGGAAAGGATTCACCATTCTAGATGCCATTAAGAACACTCATGATTCAAGAGAGGAGGTCAGAATATCCACATTAACAGGTGTTTGGAAGAAGTTGATGCCAAACGTCATAGCTGACTTTGAGGGGTTCAAGACTTCAGTGGAGGAAGTAACGGCAGATGTGGTGGAAGTAGCAAGATAACTAGAATTAGAAGTGGAGCCTGAAGATGTGATTGAATTGCTGCAATCTCATGATAAAATTTTAACAGATGAGGAGTTGCTTCTTATGGATGAGCAAAGAAAGTAGTTTCTTGAGATGGAATCTACTCCTGGTGAAGATGCCGTGAACGTTGTTGAAATGACAACAAAGGGTTTAAAATATTACATAAACTTTGTTGATAAAGCAGCGGCAGGGTTTGGGAGGATTGACTCCAATTTTGAAAGAAGTTCTGCTGTCGATAAAATGGTGTCAAACGGCATATCATGCTACAGAAAGGAAGAGTCAATTGATGCAGCAAACTTCATCATTGTCTTATTTTAAGAAATTGCCACAGCCACCAAATCTTCAGTAACTGCCACCCTGATCAGTTAGCAGCCATCAACGTCGAGGCAAGACCCTCCACCAGCAAAAAGATTACAACTCCCTGAAGGCTCAGATGATGGTTAGCATTTTTTAGCAATAAAGTATTTTTTAATTAAGGTACATACATTGTTTTTTTCCCCACACGTCTGTAAGTTTGCCATACTGTGGTGGCTTGTGTGTTGCTGTGATACTGAAAGCTATGCCACTTGTATTTCAAATAGGAGCAGGGTCACCGATGGTGGACAGGTTTCAGCAGAGCTTCCAGATTAAGACAGACTAGGAAGAAGGAGCTGGCAGTCTACTTCTGAAAAAACTGGCCAGTGATAACCTTATGAATAGCAGCAGAACATTGTCTGATACAGTGCCAGAAGATGAGCCCCTCAGGTTGGAAGACACTCAAGATGCAACTGGGGAAGAGCTGCCTCCTCAGAGCAGAGTTGACCTTAATGACATGGATGGAATTGAGCTTTCAAGAACCTTCATTTGCTGATATGGCATGACTCAAAGTGAGAAGAAATAGCTGCAAACATGCATTAATAATCGGAACATGGAATGTACGAAGTACGAATGTAGGAAAATTGGAAGTTGTTGAAAATGAAATGGAATGGATGAAAATCAGTATCCTAGGTGTTGTTGTTAGGTGCCATTGAGTCGGTTCAAACTCATAGCAAACCTATGTACAACAGACGAAACACAGCCTGGTCCTGCACCATCTTCACCATCGTTGTTATACCTGAGCCCGTTGTTGGCAGCCAGTGTCAGTCCATCTCACTGAGAATCTTTTCCGCCAACCCTCTCCTCTACCAAGCATGATGTCCTTCTCCGGGTACTGGTCCCTCCTGATAATATGTCCAAAGTATGTGAGACAAAGTCTAACCATCCTTGCTTCCAGTGAACTCTCTGCCTGTACTTCTTCTTAGACAGATTTGTTTGTTCTTCTGAAGTCCATGGTATATTAAGTATTCTTTGCCAACCCCATAATTCAGAGGCATCAGTTCTTCTTTCCTTATTCATTGTCCAGCTTTCCCATGCATATGAGGCAATTGAAAACACCATGGCTTGGGTCAGGCGCACCTTAATCCTTAAACTGACATCTTTGCTTTTCAACACTTGAAAGAGGTCTTTTGCAGCAGATTTGCCCAATGCAATATGTCATCTGATTTCTTGACTGCTGCTTCCATGGGCGTTGATTGTGGATCCAAGTAAAATGAAATCCTTGACAACTTCAGTGTTTTCTCCGTTTATCATGATGTTGCTTATTGGTCCAGTTGTGAGGATTTTTGTTTTCTTTATGTTAAGGTGTAATCCATACTGAAGGCTATAGTCTTTGATCTTCATCAGTAAGTGCTTCAAGTCCTCTTCACTTTCAGAAAGCAAGAGTGTGTCATCTGCATATCACAGGTTGTTAATGAGTCTTCCACCAATCCTGACGCCATGTTCTTCTTTACATAGTTCAGCTTCTTGGATTATATGCTCAACATACAGGTGGAATAAGTACGGTGAAAGGAAACAACCCTGACGCACACTTTTCCTGATTTTAAACCATGCAGATATCGCCTTGTTCTGTTCCAATGACTGCCTCTTGGTCTAACTACAGGTTCCTCATGATCACAATTGTTCTGGAATTTCCATTCTTTGCAATGTTATCCATAATTTGTTATGATCCACACAGTCGAGTGCCTTTGCACAGTCAATAAAACACAGGTAAACATCTTTCTGGTATTCTCTGCTTTCAGCCAGGATCCATCTGACATCAGCAATGACATCCCTGGTTCCACATCATCTTCTGAATCCAGCTTGAATTTCTGGCAGTTCCCTGTTGATGTACTGCTGCAATCGCTTTTGAAAGATCTTCAGTAAAATTTTACTTGTGATATTCATATTGTTTGATAATTTCTGCATTATGTTGGAACACCTTTCTTTGCAACAGGCACAAGTATGGATCTCTTCCAGTCGGCTGGTCAGGTGGCTGTCTTAGAAATTTCTTGGCATAGACAAGTGAGCACTTCAGCACTGCATCCATTTGTTGAAACATCTCAATTGGTATCCTGTCAACTGCTGGAGCCTCATGTTTTGCTAATGTCTTCAGTGCAGCTTGGACTTCTTCCTTCAATACCATCAGTTCTTGATCATATGCTACTTCCTGAAATGGTTGAATAATACCAGTTCTTTTTGGTACAGTGACTCTGTGTATTCCTTCCATCTTCTTTTGATATTTCCTGTGTCATTCAATATTTTGCCCCTAGAATCTTTCAAAACTGCAACTCCAAGCTTGAATTTTTTCCTTCAGTTCTTACAGCTTGAGAAATGCTGAGCATGTTGTTCCCTTATGGTTTTTCAACTCCAGGTCTTTGCACATTTCATTACAATACTTTACTTCTGTTTTCTCAAGTCAACGTTTGAAATCTTCTGTTCAGCTCTTTTACTTCATCATTGCTTCCTTTTGTTTTAGCTGCTGTACATTCTTGATCAAGTTTCAGAGTCTCTTCTGACATCCATTTTGGTCTTTTCATTCTTTCTTGTCTTTTTAATGACCTTCTGCTTTCTTCATATGATGTCCTTGATATCATCCCACAACTCATCTGGTCTTCGGTCATTAGTGTTCAGTGCGTCAAATCTGTTCCTCAGATGGTCTCCAAATTCAGGTGGAATACACTCAAGGCTGTATTTTGGTTCTCGTGGACTTCTGACTTTCTTCAGCTTTAACTTGAATATGAGCAGCTGATGGTCTGTTCTGCAGTCAGCACCTGGTCTTGTTCTGACTGATGATATTGAGCTTTTCCATTGTCTCTTTCCACAGATGTAGTCTATTTGATTCCTTTGCTTTCCATCCAGTAAGGTCTACATGTACAGTCACCATTTATGTTGTTGAAAAAAGGTATTTGCAATGAAGAAGTTGTCGGTCTTGCAAAGTTCTATCATGTGATCTCTGGCATCGTTTTTATCGCCAAGACCTTATTTTCCAACTACAGATCCTTTTGTGTTTCCAACTTTTGTATTCCAATCACTAGTAATTATCAATGCATCTTCAGTGCATGTTTGATCAACTTCAGACTGCAGAAGCTGATAAAAATCTTCAATTTCATCGTCTTTGGCATTAGTGGTTGGTGCATAAATTTGAATAGTGGTCGTATTAACTGGTCTTCCTTGTAGGCATATGGATATTATTCTATCACTGACAGTACTGTACTTCAGGATAGATCTTGAAATGTTCTTTTTGACAATAAATGTGATGCCATTCCTCTTCAATTTGTCCTTCCCAGCGTAGTAGACCATATGAATGTCTCATTCAAAATGGTCAGTACCATTCCATTTCAACTCACTAAAGCCTAGGAAGCTTTATCCCTTGAGAAGGGATATCATGCTTGGTAAGGTAGGGGATCATCAAAAAAGAGGAAGACCCTCGATGAGATAGATTGACACAGTGGCTGTAACAATGGGCTCAAACATAGTAATGATTGTGAGGATGGCGCAGGACTGGGCAGTGTTTCATTCTGTTGTACATAGAGTTGCTATGACTTGGAACCGACTTGACAGCACCTAACAACAACAGTGTTTTTTTAGACATAATACTATTACACACTTAATAGACTACAGCATAGTGTAAACATAGCTTCTGTATGCACTGGGAAACCAAAAAATCTGTGTGACTTGCTCTATTGTGATATTCCCTTTTTTGCAGTGGTCTGGACCCTAATCCACAATATCTCTGAAGTATGCCTGTACGTTGTTTACTTCATACTAGTCTTCTGTGTTAAGAGATTTAAGCCTACAGGAATGAGCCCGAATTTAAACCACTAACTGCTTTTTTCCCTGTAGCGGGCAGGGCAGTAGCAAGCCAAGGTTCTTGCATTCTAGTTGATGGCTCTGCAAAGCTCAGCTTTACTGAGGCCCAGTTACATAAATAAATGCATTACTCTAAGGTAAAAAAAAAAACTCTTATTAAAGTTTTATTTATGTATTTACTTTTTGATAGGAGGTGGGGGCTGTTTATTTTTATTTTGTAAAGACCTTACAGTGGTGTACAAGGTCCTAAGCAGTGTGGCCCCTTGCTGACCTCACCTCCAACTCCTCTCCTTCACTCACTCTCCCCAGTCACACTAGCCTCCTGCCTTAAAGTAAAATTCCTTATGCACACCAGGTAACACACACTCCAGGTTTAGGGGTTTGCACTGGTTGTCCCCTCTGGTTCCCCAGCTATTTGCAAGGCTGATACCTTCCTCTTTTGAGTCTTTGTTTATCTGTCACTTTCTCACTGAGACCTGTCCTGACTATCCTATTTAAAATTCTAGTCTACCGTCCCCTACCCACGTGTACACACTCTTCATTTCCCTTCTGTTGTGCAAGTTTTTTTCCATAGTATTTAATTTCTAACATACTATATAATGTACTTATTTACTATGTCTGGTGTTTGTCTCACCTTACTAGAATGTATATTTCAGAAAGATTTTTGTCTGTTTTGTTCACTGATATGTTCTCCCAAAGGTTTAGAACAGTTTCTTACAATTTAGGTACTCAATAAATATTTACTGAGTAAGTGAATTTTCCTATTGCCCTCATTTGCTTTCTTATTTCTTTTTCCTTGGAAAATTTAAGGCATCTTGTCTCAAAATTTAACTTGCAACAGTTTATATCACTGAAAATAAAAAATGGGGAAGAGACATGAGAAGGGAAAGAAAAAAGATATAAGAGATACAGGATATGGGTTAATGGAGAGTAATTAGAAATTATTTAAATTTATGTACACGACATTAAAATCTTGAGAGTTCCCAAAATCAGATGTCGTAGCCTTGTCTGAGTAAAGATTAGGGTGCCTTCCCATTGTAGATTTTACCTCCAAGGCAAGTAAGGAAGGAGAGTGCACATCAGTCTTTTAGTGTTGGTAAGGAGATACAAGGTACGTTTTTTCAGGAATATCAGTTCTGGATGGATTCTCAATTCACCTGGGTCCTGTTCAAGTGGGAAGCCTTTTTAAAATATCATATTTAGAGTTGAAAATCTCGTGTAAGCCTTTTTTCTCTCCTGATTTTTATTGGATACCCAACCTGATGAAGTGTATAACTGCATCTGTCCCTGCAATTCAGTAACTAAAATGGAGTGCTCGTAACAACGAATGAGGGTGAGGTGTGCACAGCTTGACAGAAGTAAAAAATTTCACTAAAATGTACACAAGAAAAAAGGACCAGTTGATAATTGCTAAGGCATATACAACAGCGATAATAGCCAAAAAATATGTGTGTGGGTATATATGTATGTATGTAGACATATATGTGTATAGATATGTATATGTGAATATATATAGGTGTGCGCAAATGAATATGTATATGCATATATGTGTGCATATATAAAGCACAGGGGGACACAGTTATGGATACCTCTTAGATGTAACCAAATACCTCATGGGATTGACTTCGTGGATTTGAAGGATTAGGACTATAGTCTTGCGGGACATCTCAGTCAGTTGGCATAATACAGTTCATGAAGTTTACGTTCTACATCCTTATTTGGTGAGTAGCGTCTGGTGTCTTAAAAGCATGTGAGCGGCCATCTAAGATACAGCTATTGGTCTCTACTCATCCAGAGCAAAAGAGAAAGAAGGAAACCAAAGACTCAAAGAAGAAACTAGTCTAACAGACTAATAGTCTACATGAGCCATGGCCTCATCTACCCTGAGACCAGAAGAAGTAGATGGTGCCCAGCTGTCACTACCAACTGTTCTGATCAGAGCTATAATAGATGGACCTTGGTAGAGTGAGAGAAAAATGTGGGACAGAATCTCAAATTTCTTTAAAAAAAGCGAACAAAAAAAAGCCAGACTTAGTGGATCGATTGAGACTGGAAGACTCCCCAAGACTATTGCCCTGAGCCCCCATAAACCACAGCCTCCTCTAATCTGAAACCAGAAGAACGAGATGGTGCCCGGCTGGCACTGCTGACCTTTATGACTGGGATGGCAATAGAAGGTCTCAGTTAGAATGGGTAAAAAAAAAAAACATAGAA